ATGATAGATTAACCTAATCCCGTAACATGTCCTGTCAAGTCGAATAGGAAAATCTGTAACATGTCCTGTCAAGTCGAATTGGAAAAATCCGGTTACCTATTTTTGTGGGTCAGGGTGAATGCATAACTTGTTTATTAAGGAAAATCCTGTATCAGTATAAATACTGCCAGAGGTTCGGATAGCAGAAAAATGAATAGTAAGTTTTGTGAATAAAAAACACAATTTTCATATTTTAAATAGATTTTATTTTATTGAATTACAACACTGGTTATTGGTTATTACAATCGGTTTTGATAAATGAAAATTATTTTTAACAAAATTTTTAACAAATTCATCGTTATAAAATTTATCTGTTACATGCAGTTCTGATAAACATAGATTTCTATTAATTTTATATAAAAAATATAAGCAGAAATAACCACAGTTTAAGGAAAACAAACTGATGAATAATATTATTCTAACAATATCTTTTTGAATTTTGTTTTATAAATATTATGATACTCGCTTTCCTCGGTTTTAATCCATAACTATCGTAATAAATGCAAGAATTTTTATCTTTGGTAAAAAGTACCGATATCAAATGACTTCCCGGCTTATTTTTTTCATCTAAATTAATTATAAAAGATTGTTTATTACCAACTCGAAACGGTAGATCGTCCAATGCAAACCTCCTCCGAAATTTCTTTTTATTTTCGGATCGCTTGCTACTAATCTCCACAACGTAACGGGTATTCATTCAATTAATAATCGACGAATACGGTTCGTGAATAATCGATTTCTAAGGTATTATTATATTCTAGCAAACAAATAATGTTTATGGTTTCTGGTATCGCCTTCGAAAACTTTATTTCCACAGAGATATTTCCTAGCTGGTCTATGCTAACGTGCGACTCGGAGCCTGATTTATCGGGTGTAAGATCAAAACAATATAAATTATAACCGTCTCGGTACTCGTCGTACGATATATTTATAGATTTGTGATGATGAATACATCTGGTATCTTCGAATAACGAGATAAAATTTCTTGCATAAATTTTATTGCTATAATCCAGAGTATAGGATTTAGAAGGTATCATTTGATTGTCTTTTGATAAACATATATAATTTAAATCATAATTTTTAAAATTAAAAGGATTACGCTTCACATTTCCATTAAATGCAGAATTAGAAACTAATCCGAGAGTTATTCTATAAGGTAGTTGACCGATAACAACGTTTGATATACTTGTAGACTGAATCCCGCTAGTTAACGTAAAGACTTTAACATCTGTCCTTCTGAATGGTAACTTAATTAGAGCGGTTTGTAATGCTTTTTCAATTCCTATCTGTATTGACGAACTAACGTCTACTTTATTAATTTTCAGCGATGCGTTTTTAATAATAATTTTATAGTTGTCGTTATCTGCCATTAGCGCAAAATTTTCTTTAGATCTTTCCAATTTAATTCTTAGGTCTACATTGTTCGTTAGAAGCTTAGGCTGGTTCGCTAAATCGATATGAAGACGTCCCATTAAATCTATTATTCTACTTCCTTTGCTGATGTTAAATCTTTTAACTAATCCGTAGTTAGTATTATTTTCATCTAACGGATTTATCGAATCCATTTGTCCAGCAGTATCTTTAAAAAATAACGCGCTCGTTAAAAAAGTTTCTTGCACTTCTTTCGAATTAAATAGCAAGGCATCTAATATAGCTCGATACGGGTAATTAACCTGCGTAATTACTAATTTGTCATTTAAATACACAGTACACTGAGAAAACAAACTATTTAAAAAATAATTAACAGGAGTAACTTTCTCTTCCGACCCAAGGTTTGATCCATCTTTCTTTACGATTTTCGCTTGAACACATAGATAAATCGAATGTAGATCCATATAATGCTCACCCGATCCTGATATAAGAAATTCTATAGGTGATCTACTGTCATTAATTGCAGCGACGGGATGCGCAGTGACTTCATACGTATTGTCGATAGCCAGTTGGATTCCCACATTCTTAAACAAATCTAATTCGGATTTGGTGCAGCCACACGAATGGACATTCATCGTTTCTTAATTACCGAAAATATCGTTAAGTTTTCGCTTCTTCTTCTTTTCCGACTGAGTTAATCTTTTTCGTCGTTTTCTTTTTATACCCGATCCTGTCTGCACTTTTTTAAGCACGTCTTCCTTAATTTCAGATCGCACATCTTTAAAACGATTTTTTGTAGATTCTTTAAACGACTTCCCTCCAATTACATCCGATCCGACATTCGATGCAAATTTTAAAGCTTTACCCCCTAGATACTTTCCTACTCTACTAAGAATAGGAATAGATTTACGAAATAAATCCCCGAAAAATCCGTATCCTCTCTGTATTTGCGGTCCAGCAAAATAAGTCCCTCTTCCAAATTGTCGTGTAAATAATGGAAACTCGTGTGTCAGTACCGTTCCTCCTGCTTGATTGCAGTAATAATCTATACAATCTCGGGGATCGAGCTTCATTTTCTACTTCACAAAGACGAACTAACGTTAATATATAAAATATACGATATTTATATCTGTTTAAAAGATAAAACTAATAATGTCTTTCCTCCAAAAAAGACGATTTCTTTTCCACTAGCAGTTCTCAGCTCGATTTCAATTGTATCTATATAATTACGTCGTAAAGGAAGGTATAGAGGTGATTGGTAGACCCTAACTATTTGATCTGACTTTTCCCCCATTACAGGTATAACCCTTAAAAGTGGAGCGGTTATATCCCCAACACGATGAGAAGCAACGATATTCGAATAAATAAAAATTTCTGAAATTCCGGCAGATAATTCGATGGGATAGTCGCTCACATATTCGCCTTCGGAAAATTTGCTTTTTTTAAATCCTAACAAATCTTTTAATTCGTTTCCGAATTCAATTGTTATATTTTTATGAACTTTTAAAACGATTTTGTTATTAGGTAGTAATGCTAATTTAATATATTTAAAAATTCCGAGAAAGTTTTCAACAGAGGAATATAACCTGATGGGAATAAAAATTTTTTCCTCTACATCGATTTCCTCCACAAGTTTTTTATTTCTTTCTATTAAAGTTATAAACTGGTCTTTGTAATATCTAGGATTTGATAGATATTTCTTACTCGCTCCTTGCAATATTAAACTGGAACTCTGTTGTTTAAATGTAATATCTTGGTTCGGTAAATTTAAAAAATAAAGTAGCTTATGAGCATTGTTTCTCGAAATATGCAACTCGAATCCCTCTTCCAAATTTAGTTTTACGTTTTTATAATCCTTGTCTAAAATAAATTCTGCCAACTTAGATCTTGTTAACGAAACTATATTCTTGTTTATCAAATCGAAAAGCGTCCCTTTTTCATTTTCATCGCCTTTAGTTAATGGAATCTCACATGTTACATTGGTTATTTTTTCTCTTCTAATTTTATGTCAAGTAATAGTATAATCGTTATTGTGATTTGATATGTTAAACAAATTTCTAGGAATAATAACCTCACTCAGACCTACAACCCATTTCCCCCGTAAATCAATAGGTGTACTCGTTTTCACAGTGAAATGAGACTGCTTATTTTCGGGAAATAACTCCATCCTGGCGTTGCTTATCAGAGTGACGAAAAAGTCCGACTGCATCGTTTTGTTACCTTCTGTAATTCTTCTGTATAAAATCTTCCTTCCAAAATCTCGTTATTTAAATCTTTCAATATATATGTCGGAGGATGAGACGAAAAACGATCGTTAATAATAAATATTTCTTCTGTCCAACCAGGTAGGTATCCTTGACTAAATGTTTTTCGTATCTTCGAAATTCGAACAAGGTCGCCAATATTAAATTTAAACGTATTCTCTCCTTTTATGCCATACAACTTTTCGAAAATAGAGCTGTGATGTAGGGGAGTAACTTTTGACAGAGACATACCGATACTTCTATAAAAACTATTAATATAACTTTTCACAATATCCGATAATTTATCGATATATTTATAAGAATTACGATAAGTAAATAATCTATATATTTTATTTCGCAAAGTTTTATTTAATCTTTCAACGACAGCGGCTTTTGTATTGGAATGAGTCGAATAATGATTAATTTTAAATTTTTTAAAAAGATTTTTTACTAATCTATTANTCTTGGGTATGTCTTTGGGGTGGACCAGGATCTGATGATATGCTCGCGTTAGGTCTGTTTTGGATAATATAGTCTTCCCGTATAAATTCTGAGCAAAATCTTGTAGATAAGGCAATGGGTACATGTCTGGTACCGTTATTCTATTAAAAGCCCGGTAATCCCCGGTGGGACGATAGTCCCCATTTAATTTGGGTATCAAGTGCAGTGGGTTGGACCAATTGGAATTACTCGGCCGACAAAAGCTTAGTTCTAACATTAACTAGAATTTCTTTTTCGCGATTTCCAGCTGTTTTGGATTGAGATGGCAGGCGACAAAAAACGTTATGCTCCTTGGTAATTTTACGGTGGACGATGTTATGTTTGGGTTTGGTGTCAGATGGGTATGGCCGAAGGATATTTTTATATTTGTTTAAAATATTGCTGAATTTCGAATTAGAAGCAATTAAAGTAATGTTAGTTTGCGTGCCGTGGTGAGCAGACCCTGCTGTTGTCAAGGGCATTAATGGGTCTGTGATGTGGGCGTTTTTTAAGTCGATCAGAAGACCGAAGTTTCTTATGAAATCGGTACTTATTATTGATTTGCTGACGTTTGCAATTACAAAAGGCCACGTAAATTGGCGCTTTAAGTTTAGGGACAAGGTTATGGTTTATGTGCCATAAGTCATTATCGGGGAATTGTTTGCCGAATAAAGTGTCAATGAGGCGGGTGCTCTAAATGTCATGGCAGCGTTATATGGTAGAAGGCAAATGTCGCTACCAATGTCGATTAAGTAGTGACGACATGAGGTTGGATCGTAAACGAAAAGGCAGCTTGTGTTGTTAATTTGGAAATCACATTGCACCACCTGTGATTTCCGAGCTAGTTTCCCTGATCATTCAGTGCCCTTGTCCTGTAAATTCTCATTGAAGGCACTCAGTCGACCATCGCACACCCGCAAACGTTGTTAACATGTTTATATATTAATATAAACATCTTAACTACCCGATACATTGCAATAACACGCCTCCAATTGCCGTATATCATCGGGCTGTAACAAATATTTTTTTCAGCTGCAGATGCTCAAAATAAGGATTCAGTCTTCTTAGTGAGGATGAAATATATGTCTGTACATTGTCTGAAACTGTATGGAAACTGAGGGTATCAGAGACACAAGATTTTGTTAATGTGTTTAAAAAGACCCATTAGCAGAATCTTATATATTTTCATATGAACCAGTCGGTTGCGCGGCACTCCAATTGGAGTAACCGGTTTTAGTTAAACTGTTGCGCAGTACTCCAATTGGAGTAAGTGTCAATTTTTTTTCGTAATTAACTAGTTGGTGGCGATTTAAGCACTGATTGGTATTTATCTACATAGACTAAGTCTGTTTCAACGAATAAGATATTTGTTACCACTCCCTATTTTTAAATTTACCCACATAACTCCTCCTTTCCATGTTAAGTCTATGGGAGACCCTTCTTTCGTTTATTGGACAATAAAATTTTTGTTGGCACGTCTGTTGTCCTCTAATTGGTATATTATAGTTAAATGACTATCCTTTAACGAATAAGCATTGACTTGGGTTTGTGGGGTGGGAACTTTCTGGGAAAAAGTTATTTTTATCGGTGCTACATTGTTAGCTACAAACGTAAACAAACAATTATAAATCATTATTCTCGTCTATTTTTAGCTTCAATTTAGTAAACTTTTATAAATATTCAACCTATTTAACAAATAAGCATGTTTTTAAAACCATTCAATTATAAATGTTTTAAAAAACAAAGTACTTCCGGTTATCATGCAACTTTCGTAATATGTAAAAAATACACGTATAATCTTTAATATATTAAAGTAATAATCACTTGATATATACCACTGTTAGTACAATAGTGTAAATAACATAAATAGAATCAAATATACATCATCAATACTAAAAAGTGTATTGACCTAAATTTAGAATAACCACCACCCCTTTTACACGCCAATCGGCGTTATAATCTATAGGTCGTATTATTTTTCTACATCGGTTTAAAAAGCTGTAATTTTTTTATATTTGTGTATATAGACCTATCTATCTAACATATATAACAGATTAATCGGATGTTTATTAAAAAAATTTCTTTTTTTAATTTTTTGAATTCTCGAATTTTATAAATTTTTTTTCATGTACATAATGTTTTGAAGTTAACAATCGTAAAGTGTGATATGTGAATAATAAAAGGCAAAAAACAGATCAGATGTACAACAATTTATAAGTGAAATATTGCAAATTTAAAAATTACTATAAAAACCAGAAAATCACGCGACAATGGTGTTGTTTCAGATTATCGCGATGCACAGCTGACAGGTTAATACAATTAAATCAGCCTGCCATAAGTCGTTAGGATAAAAACTTATAGTTTTTCGTCGCGAATATTTAATTCTTACAGGTTTATGAAGCGTATAAGTTACTTGAGAAGACAGCCATTTTTTAACAACAGATCGCGGCAAATTTGATTTTTTAACTAATTTACTCACACCACCAAAAGTCGCTGGAGATTTAGGATTATAGTATATCGATTTCAAAAGTTTTTCCATTCGAGATTTTTCTTCCTCTTCCTCTTAGATTTTTTCGAGTGATGAGAGGAAATTTCTTTGGGATTTTCGACTGATGTTCGTTGATAGTATATTTTTTCCAGTGTTGTTGCCAAACTTTTGTTTCCGATCCACTCTCTAGAAATATTTATTTTCTTTAAGCCATCCAAAAAGTCTTTAAAACCAACGGGGGGTAATGCAGTTTTTCTATTTCTCATTACATACGAAACTAAATCTACTATATGACTTTCGATGACAGGTTTTCCATCGATTGTTAATTCACCTTTAGAATTCCATTTGTAATGACTTCGATCCAACTTAGCGATTAAATGAGGTATATATTTTTGATATAATTGAGGTACCGATATAATTATTTGTTTCATAAATCCGTCATCATCATCATCAGTTTTTTCTTTCGGTTGAGATTCTGTTTCTTCATTTTGGTTAGATACGACCGATACTCTGACAGGTTTTTTAGGAGCGTGAGCGGTTCTCTGATATCTCGAAATCAATTGACTTAATAACTTGACTTTATCGTCATCAGGTGAATTTGTACTCTCGAGTAATTCTTCGATATTAGAACCAATTCTTATTTCAGGCTTTTGATAACTCATCAGTAATTCGGGAGGAAACTAAGGCCATCTGCTTCGCCATTAGATTCTTTTTCCTATTACTTTACCGATTAACCCTCCTGCCATAGACAATAACGGCGCCAGTAGAAGAGGAAGGAATCCACCAGATTGATTAACCAAAATTTTTTCTTGGTATTTAAAGGAACACGTTTTTCGCTTAATTTCCTGATAATTTTTTTATATTTTCGTAATGTACGAACATCGGTGGGTATATTTCCTCTCCGCAAATTATCGCATATTTCACACAACACTTTAACTTGATTGGGAGTAGCGTCTTTCAATATGGCTTTCCGTTGTGAAGGAGTAGTCTTTGCTAAAAGTGCTAGCATATGATAATTTTTCTTTACGTTTTTCATTTTATCGGTAAGTAAATCCAAAAAATACCTCGTTCGTCGGGAAAACAAGAATCTCTCACAGAAAATTTCTTATCTGTTTTAAGATGAAAATCTAATAACAAATAACCAAATTTCTTTTCTTTCGTTTTTTTATATGCATCCATGAAAAAATTAAATTTTCCCGCAAAAGCTTGGCGACCTAAACAATTCACCTGACTTTCATCATGATTATTTTTAAATAAAAACAAATAATGTGTATTTAAACTTATATCTCTCATAATCTTATTTTTCGTAAACAAATTTTTTATTATTAAAATCACATTTACATT